AAAGATAAAAAAGTCCCATAAACATCACCCTTTCGTCTCATTTTGTTGCCTTTTATTAGAGCAATGAGAAGATGGATTACTTGATATTGGATTTATCCATTTCAAATCGTATTTTCATTATGTCATTTAATGAAAAATTGAATGATGCAGTGTTTTGCCCCGGAGAGCCTAATAGTAATCATACTGGCTGGCATTACCTTCTTCATAACATGTCTTTAATTATCTGGCTACTCAGATATCTGTCTTTTTCTCTTTAAAATTTGAATTATCTTTATTACTTTCTTCTATTTAAATATAAAATTAAGTGTAATCTCATGTCTGATAATTTTATTCCTTGTTAATTCCTCAGATTTCAACTTTAATTTGAATTTCAAAATTATGACATATTTTCCTGGGGAAATGAATATATGCTTTAACAACAAGTCGCAGCCATCAATTACCAGACCAAAACAATTCCATAATTGGAATCCTAATTACGTTTTCCATTACTAGCCTTTGTGATCTTACAACCAAGTACATAATATCTATATACACGCGAATGCAATGCCGCCTTACAAGATATGAACCCGACATAAATCCAACTACAATAGGGGTTTTAATGTACATCTGTAATTCAGATAATACCGCAGATCTAACTTGAAGCCGCCATTCTAAATTGATTGATGATGAAGCTCTGTAGAAGCTAATATGCCATGCCCACTGGCGCGGTATTTAGGGAAATGACATCATTGCTCCTATTTCATCAAGCCATAACAGAATTTGTAGTCTGTGGAATTAACGAAAATTTGTTATAAACTTGGAAATGGTTTTGATTTTTTCTGATTGTGTTATATCTGTTATTACTGTAGGCACTGGTTCAAACCAATTTGAGTGTTGCAAACAGGATGGTGTATTCGTAGAAAACAGGATACAGTTAAGTTTTTTATAATACCATTTGCTTTCCTAGTACAGTACTTCATATAATAACTTCAAACATACAGCATATGGTGACTTTTTTAGATAACTTCTTGCCTTGTACTAAGCCTCATTTAGTATTGCCTTTGTGTGTCTTGAGGCAAGACTACATATTGCATGTCAGTCTAAAACAGGGCACCAAATATATGTATACTTAAGGTTTTCCCTTCATTAAATCATGTAAATGTTAATTAGGAATTGTTTGAAAGACTGGGTGAGAGTCAGATCTTTAAATTAAGTTGATTGAACTTGCAATAAAGTCATGGATATATTCAAATTTTCCTTGCAGTTTCTTTATGACCTCATATAGAAAAATATCAAAGCCTTTTCATTGATTTTCAATTTTCTGGCGCAGTTATTGCATAAATATAGGATTAAATATAAGTCTACCAGTTTATGCGATCATAACAACTTTGATGAGATGTGAAAGGACATCGATACGCCAAAGGCCTAGACAAAGTTCTTGCTCATTATGAGGCACATTGTGTCTCGATCAAATGGTTGGAAAATTCATCTGTTAAATAAATGATATAGATGACTAAGCGATAATTTCTCGATACACGACTATTCAGACTTGTTTTTTATAATGATAATAACATCAATTCTAATAATATACACTGACATACTGTATATCATCAATTCATTTGCAATTTAATGGTTTACACAACATCCTACTGTTTTATAAAAACAGAAATAATGTGATCTTACTAATTATGAATCAAACAAGTTGATCAAGTTCAACTTTAACATGAAAATTTCAAACATATCAAACTCAAAAATTGATTTTGAACTGTACTCTGAATTAAGTGTCAAACACCTTGGTAAAGTTAAATGTAAACAGTGGCTCAACTTTCTCATTCTGAACCTATTGAAAATGCTATGCAAACAGGGTATATTTTACTTGAGGGAGGGTACCAACAGGGTATGGCATATATATCGATTCAAAATCACATAAAACCCAAGGATTTTCGACTATAAAGACATAAAGGTTGTAAACCGTTAAGTATGTGCATAAAGCAATCCTAAATCTATAGACTCGAAATATCAACGGGATTAGATCGCAAATGAGGTTGCTCCGTGTCCAATGATTCAAATAAAGCTTACATCATATTTTTTTCAGCTTTACGGGTCTGACTCATGGCTCAGCTAGGAAAATGATGAATATAATATTATAACTGAGACTAACACGAACTGTACATCCAGTTTCAAGACGAACAACAAGTCCATAAAAACGAGCAAAACCATATTATATATATTCACCACAAGTTTGACTAAAACTGGGTGATTACTTCAAGACCCAATCTTCTTTAACAACCAAGGAGATCTCCCTCCTCATTTTTCAAACAGCAATGAGTATAATTTGCAATTTGAAGTGCTTTACTCTTTGAGCTAACAACATTGACCTTCATCAACTGGTAGTTTTTTGAGGCAAAGCAAAATAGCACTTCAAATTAAAAAGGTATAATTTTCTTATTCTCCATATTTATATAGTTTCATAGAAAATAAGTAGGGTCAACATCAACATTCCAACAATGTTATATTTCAATATAAACTACTAAACTACTTTTTTAATCAAAATGCATCCTTCAAGATCGGGATTCACTGCTTTAAGCAAGCCTGCGTTCTATTTTGGAAGTTATGAAGATAGGCACAAAATGGCGTGTCTGCATTGACCAATCACATGTCTCATTTTCTGGAACTTAAATCACCAAGTCATTCTAAGAAATTAAATTTTTACATTGCTTAGTTCCCTTTTATTTCCTAAGTTCCTGTTTATTTTTCACTACATTCATTTTTTATTAGCTTATAGAATGTAATATATGTTCTGAGAGAGCGAACTCGATAGAAGGTTGTGACAACTGTTAAAGTACATTCGTACTGTCCTTTTAGGAAAATCAACTCTTTTCTATGAAAGCAATTTTGCAGTACTAATTCTAAAAGATATAACGAAGATAAGAACACACTAGCTGTTCACTAACACAAGGTTGATAACAAATGTGTATGACATAATGATGTATGAGCTAAAAACAATACTACTTCAGAAGATGTTACCCCTGAACAAGCATTAGATACCATCCAAGTTTGCAACAATCGCACAAAACAAAATGCCAGGCAGAATATTCAAATAGTTAAATATAGCGTTAGAGACTAATTAATTTTGCCGCTATTCATATTTTCAATTTACGGGTATTTTATTTTCATTATTAGCATACAGCTGTGCAACTATAAAACCTTCATTACACAGTCTACAATATAATGGTAGATATCTTGATAACACTTGCACATTGTACAGCTACTAAGAACACCTTTTGAGCTAGATGAACAATTAGGAAATACTTTACATTATACGACAAAATGTCTCCACATTACCCACGTTCTCTGGTAATTTGTTAAAGTCATTTGTAAACAACTTGTTGCTTGTTGATTTGTTTGCTTGTTTGTTTGTTCGTTTGTCTTTCTATTTATGAAACATATATTATGAAATGATCAACTATAAAGCATAAATTAAAATCACAGAATAATCTGTCACAACAATTGACAGAATGTACATGGATATGATAATCAATCCGGATTTGTTATTGACATAAACTGGATATATTTAGCATAGAGTGATTATGAAATTATGAATTTATGTTTGAACTGAACAATGATGGCATTTAGTTATATACAGAGACAAAAGACATTTAGTTATATACAGAGACAAAAGACATGCTCCAATTTGATTTTTTTTATCTGAAATCTATTTGTTCAATAATCAATTCCTCAAAAGAATTATGTATCATCAGTCTCCTCATCCTCCGATCACAGGGCTTCAAAACCCAGAATATCTTCTTTCTTTTTACACCCTGCTATAAGCAGTTAGCATTTCCCCGATTGACAACTCGCAATTTGATTCGCTGTCGCAACACTGTGACAGCAATCATGTATACGTCATAGATGCATAATTAGATCACGTGACTCAGTTTAATCTGACGCTTCCAAATTGGTTATAGCAGGGGGGAAGAAGGAGGTATGGATTCTGAAAACCTGCTTAGGAGGACTCAGTTTAATGTTTTACAACAGTAACATTTTGAGGATATATGAGCTGAAATTTTACTGACTCATGTTCTTCAAAATTTTTGTCTTGCAAATTGAAAACATCTGAGAGTAATCCTCATGTTTAGCCAAGAAGTAAATACATGTATTCAATTCTAGTGAATCATGGTTTGTGATATCTAAAGTTAGACCACACTTAATTATAGCAATTGCAGAACATATGATTAGCCGATGATATATATTGAGCATTGATACAATTTATCATGCTATAAATACACATTCAAGATGCACTTTATTCAAAGTGGTTTCTCTCCTGAGGAAACAAAAGAACAAGTTGACGGCATCAGCTGGCATCTTCCGCAACAAAAAATAATGTATCTAAGAATCAACATCATCACATAATTTTACCATTTGACAAAAGAAACAACAAAACGCATTCAAAACCTAAATCATAACTAACTTCACATTATTATACTGTATTTATGAAAATTATTTATTTCAATATTTTGATGAGACAATGGCATGACGTGATAGGTTTTTAATGAATGCCTCGAAAATGAAGCAATTTGCCAGAAAGAACAATTCTACAAATCTGAATGTTGATAACTCCACATTTGTTTTAGACTTTTAGACCTGAATAGTACGCATTATGGGACATGTTTTTGTTTGGTTGTTAAGTTATTTGTTTACATATTTCTTCTGATTTTATAATATCTTTTAATTTGGATGTAAGCCCAAATGAGTTATCATATATGTATGACTTGCTATTCATTCAGGTCACATTCCTTCTGTGAAAGGTTGAAAAAGATCTGAAACATGTGATGTTTCCCTGAAATATGTGATGTTTCCCTGAAATATGTAAGCTTCCTTGAAATATGTGAATGTGTGTCTGAAATGTACCAGATTAAGTTTTCCTGAAATGTCTGAGTTGATAAAATCTGTAATATGTGAAAAAAATATTCCTGAAATATGTGACAAATAACCCACTGATATGTGAATGTTTCGCTTACCTGTAGTATCTTGATTGGAGGTAGGTCGAACAGACAGCTTTAGAAACATGGCTTGCTGATCCAAAGTCAATCACCTTCACCCGATACGGAAACCTCGTCGGCTCAACGAGCATTATATTCTCAGGTTTAAGATCAGCATGTATAAGTCCAAGATTTTTCAATTTCAGCAGTGCAGTGAGGACTTGGTGTGTAATAGGACGGATGTATTTCAAAGGGAGAGGCTGAAACTTGTTCTGTTTTAAGAAATCATAGAGGTTCTGCTCCAGCATTTCAAACACCAAACATGTATGGTTTTTATGCTGGAAACATTCATACGCCCGAACAAAATTAAATTCATCTGCGCTTTCTTGACTTAACCGGGATAAAATCGAGACTTCAATTTGTCCTTGACGGGCATACGATGGGTGATTTTTCAGAATTTTAATAGCTACAATCTCGTTGGTGCCTTTTTTCCAGCATTTGACCACTTGGCCAAAAGTCCCTCTCCCTAAGAATTCCAACACCTCATAGGCTGTGGTCATAGAATACAAGACCTCATGTTGGACCAGATTATAATCTCCATCATTATTTGATGAGTTTGTGTTCTTTGATGTTGTCGTGTTTGCATTGTCATCCTCCCCACTTGATATAGCATGATGCTCCACAACTACGGGAGCATCAATGTCTTCGCTTTTCCTCTTAAGACCGACTCTATTGTAAGAGTCCATAAGTTTATTTCCACCTCGGACTGTGGTTGCTTGTGGCATACTGAGGAAGTGAGGTCCGAGGGTCGACAGGTCATACCCGTTTTCTGTAAAATTATGTGCTATGTTATTCGGTAAGATCGGTACTGTATTCACATGGTTTATATTTGCAGTTAAATGTCCATAATCGGTTTCAATTTTTCGTTTCTTGATACTGGAGAACGCACTCTGATACTGTAGACTGGGTGTCGGGATGTAGTTTTGCAGTGACATTAATACAATGCCGCAGCTTCAATAATTTCTGAAAACACAGAAAATAATTATAAAAAATATTATTTTTACATATAAAATTCTGTATATACAAACCTCAACATATCTCTTCAATCAACTTATGATATCTTGATATATTATTGTGTGATGTATGTTTATCATACACAAAACAACCCAAAAATGATTAACAAATATTTGTTTACAGCTATCACAAAAAAACAAGTTAAATCTCTGGAAAGACCCTGACATTAACAGCTTTACATAATATTGTTTGCAAAATAGCAATCCCCGTGAGAAGACATTTAAACATCTGCTATTGAGAAGATACTAATGCAGCTATTTCCTGTATATGCAATCACAAAGCTGATTGCGTTTATACCTATGATGAAATCTAGTATTACACAGGATAAAAGATACTAAAATAAACATCAATTAGAAAGCAGACAGGAAACCTCTGCAGGACACAAATCCTTTTATCAATATTATGAATATAAAAATCTAATGTAGCATCGAACTTTCTTTTTCTATAATCATAATATAATGGTGACAGTTGATTATTCCTTGCCTGATAATAATGCAGTTGTGGGGATTTAGACCTATTGGGGGTTTTAGGGTATCAGATGTTAGAAGTATGGTTCTACTAATATTCATGTTATATTTAGTAGGGTCTTGCATCAAGCTTGAACAATATACAGGTAGGTAGGTGTGTACTAGGGGCACAAAGGCATGTAGCTAGACTATTGTGGTCTCAAACACAGGCATATAAGAAAACTTGTCAGGTGATATACTTTTGAAGCTATGTAATAGACTAAACATATAATATCAGCAGGTCTGTATTTGGTGTTTGGAGATTGCAGAGAGGAGCTGTATCTAGTTCTAGATCAGTAAATATATATATAATATATATTCACATCGCCATAAAGCGAAGCTGTAAATCTGCATTTAGACCTTTTCCCAAAATAAGAAAGTCAGCACATAGTCTTGTAAGGTCTCAGAGTGTCTAACATTACCCTCCTTTTATAAATATCCTTATACTGTATATTTTAGTAGGGGGGGATAACTAATCTTAAGCGCACATCTCTTCTATCATGTTATGTTAATAAAGTCAAATTGGAACATCATCATCATGAAAGTACAATTTTAAGACATAATCAAGACTTTCTATTTAAGCACTTTTCGCTGAAATCAAGTAAGTTACAGTAAATAGAAAGCTGTTTTTAGTTTCATTTTATGTTTGAGTAGAACACAAGGTTTACCTCTAGTTCACCAAATAATCTAGTTAATATATGCCACGTTTGTCAGTTGGCATAAATTATCAGGTAAAAATACCTTTGTACTGTGCATTTGCAATCAGCCCAGAGTAAATTGTGCAGTTCAAGTGAAATTAACGCAAACAGTGTTAAAGTTTAATGTTTATGCGTCATGTGAATTTGATAACAATGAGGGTTACTGTTATTTCCACATGCAGCTGGTTATTGAAGTTCTATTGTTCTGTTAAATTAAAACGAACCTGTTGCTACCCTGTAAAATATAAATTCCGATCCCAACTCATTTTCATTTTGGGATTTTAACATTTGAAGTTTATTTTAAAAATCGAAGTTATATGAATGTGTCTGCCTCAATGTTTTTGCCATTTATTACTAGGTAAAATACGAAATCAATGCTTTCCTTATATAGCGTTCTTATCTTTATTTCCATTTTGTTAGAGGCAGGTTTTTGCGTGGTTGCTTGCGTGGTAATCATCTTACTATCCCACTTTGATACACAACCCTAAAGCCAATTCAACACATCTACATTCGCTAATTAACAAATACAATTAAAGAAAATACAGCTATATATTAATAGCATTTGCGACTTTGTCACAAAATACAATATGAGAGGTCTGAAATTCATTTATAGAAAATCAATGAGTTTAAATTTGTCGCTTAATGAATCGTTAGAGCATAGATCCTTATTAGCGATAGTTAACGAGACATGCCTTCAAAGACCCATTTGGCACGTGCGTCAACGGTTTACGATTCTTTCATCTGATGTAGAATCCCACTATTCTCAATATTTCTATTGATTTAAGCAAACATACAGCGCTAAAAATGTTGCCTTTCTTATAAAAAATTCATATCCAAAACCACTAGAAGATTAGCAAAATTGAGAGAATATATTTTTATCCCTATTGTGTTTGAATAATTGAGAATTTCCCAATCCCCAAGTATGAGTAAACCGGGAATTTGATACCCATCACGATTCACCAGGTTTTCAGACTCTGGGCAATATAGCTAGTTGAGCTACATTAATTTCTAGATAATTATAATTGAATCTAAAATTGCTGTATGCTATTTTCAGAGCTGATTAACTATTCATCTTTACATAGAGCAAAATTCATAAATAGCGTGAGATGATGCTACAACAGTTACACTGAGAAAAATAAGCCCATAGATATTATATTTCTGTTTTATTAATTATTTCAGATCATCTTATTCAAGAAAAACAACTCTGACAAAGCATCAGAGAAAGTAGATACAACGTCAAGAAGATATATAGAAAAAGTGGTTTCAAATTATAGCAGCTTAAAAAACTGAAGGCTTCTTCCAGTCTAATAGGTATTGCTGACATGACAAACGTATGTGTGTGGATCGTAACATGATTACAGTAAAAGCACCAGCGAAAGCTCCTGGGATTTGCCTTATATTATTAGTAGTAGCATGTGTGTGTTAAAAGTATTGTATAGCAGTAGCATAACACATTTTTATATAAGAAAATCCTAGCCAGAGCATTTTACTATGTGGAGATGTTAACAAATGCTCTCCTGATCTTTGACATATATTTCAACAACTAAGAAGGAGATAGCGCAAACTTAGTATAGTGCAGATGCTACTTATTAAATCATGGCCAATAACCTCAAAACTACATGCTTCTCATATAAATTACTGAAAGGAACTTCATCTATTCTTTAATATTTTTTCATTGTGCAATAATTTCATAGAGCTGACTGGTAATGTTTGTCAATATCACTTATCTATTGATATTTCATGAAATGATTATTTTGCAGATGTTTCTGAATATATTTTCATCAGACATTGACTGAAATAAAATATTTCATGTTCTTTTATTTAATGTCTACATGCATACTTGATATATAGAACACATCCAAGTTTCAGATTAAAAGATCCTACCTGAATAAAACCAGAATAACAAAAACATGGTCCAAAGTTTCCAGCAGCACAAAGTTAACCTTAGATTGCTTTTCTAAATATTTATTATATTCAAATAGTCCAAAATGGTCAATTTAAATGTCTTATCTTAAATAGCATGCCAGGCCTGTTTATCACAAGTAAATTGAAAACATGGAGTCATTTTGGCCCAGATATATATTCTTCCATTTGAATAATATTCAATGAGTGTGATTCAGTTTCCTGGAAGTATTTAATCAAAGATGGAGATAACAGGAAGCCTTAATGACATTTCAATCGAATTACAATTAAGATAACAATACAAGAAAAATCGCATTTATTATACTCTACAAAAATGTAATTTTCAGATCTTATCTGGTGCACATGGCGTGTCTACATGCATTGTGATTTTTCTAAATGTCAACTGTGACTTGTGGCAATCCAGGTAGCCTGATAAGATTACATCCCAAGGTATTACGAGAATTATTAATAACAAAGTTTCAGAAAAATGGAACTGTAGAATCTTTCTTTTGTCTCTCCACTCCCTTTCATATTGTTCTACCAATATATTCCTTCTTTCAACAATAAAAAATACCATCTGATTTGAGTTTATTTATGAGGCAGTTTGACAGGCAAGCTTGACAAAATTCTGACTTGTAAAAGGGACTGGACAGGGGGTATAGACTTGATATAGGACCAGTCTCTATAGAGTTCAACAAAAAGACTTCCCCATCAACACAGAATGATATCTTCGACAACATCATTTTTACAAATGTCATTTATAAATATTATTTTAAATCTTGTGAAATGAAATCTAATAAGGCAAACCTGAGCAGAGAGGTTAGTCCTAAAGTTAAGTAGATGAAGCTAACTTTTAAGAAGCTAAGTCAAACGAATGTGAATGGTACAATCTGGCAAACCTGCCTCAGTATTGCAATGACCTGACTGTAATATCTATCATCAAGACATAAGAGAGACATAAAGCAGTTACTTTTCATTGAAGTCAAAATAAACTGAGGTGCCAGTTAGATAGCCTGATAGGTAGTAGGTTTCAAAACAACTTTATCAACTAAACAGACGTTGTGGACTACATAGGCTTGGATATGCTTCCAAAACATTGTCAGACTGACCAGTAACTGAAAAGTTGGGAAATTAATTTATATTTGATGTCAACAGAAAAATTAATAGTAATGACAGACTATGGTTTGCTTAATTTCTTAATAAGTGAAATTAGTTGACAAATCTGTTCGTATCTAATTTCAAAATATTTAAAAATAACGATTTTCTGATTTTCAAATATTTTGACAGATACAAATGATATCAGTTCAACAACAATTTTTCTTTATATTTTTAAGGCACAATACACACATGGGTTTAATGTTTGCATTAGTAAAAATATAAATGTATATCAGCCTCTGTATTATAATGAAATATGTTAGTAAGTCGAGAGGAAAATATGTTTACTGGTAGTTAGCTCAGTACAAAGGTTTTTTAATTATATGCTATTTCTTCACTTTTTTCTCTGACACCTCTCCCTCTGTGAAAATATTGGGGCTTTCACATTATTCAATTTTTTTTTAGATTTGTGGTAAAAATATTCAAAATTTTAGAGGGGGGGGGGGGTTGTATGTTACTGCAAGGTATGCCTGCAAAAGTACATGCAAAATGTATTTATTGCAATTCAACTAAATTGAAAACCTTCCCTTCAGGATGTCTTCAACTGCTGGAAGTGCCTCAACACTCGATAAGAAAAAATTCCCAGATTAAACTCGAAAAAAGTTTTGTATTGTAATATAAGAATAACAGAAAGATACTACCGTGTGAACCTAGTTTAAAATTGCTCTCTAATCTCTGTAGAATCACAAAAATGAATAAAATTCTTGAAATCAACTGAAGTAAGAAATTTAAATCAAGTTAGCACTTTGTATAATTTGTAGTGGTTTTCGCATGTTTGACACTATTGATTCACACCTTGCACTATACAGTGTACTGAATCACCAGATTCTGACACCTGACATTTTCCCATAGCACATACTCAACTGGTATCTGTACAGGGTCTATGGGTCAGTTAAAATTCTTGAATACTTGAATAATAACATATTGCATAAGCTCCCCCCCCCCCTCCTTTGCCCTTATACCCTTTATAAGCAGGGTCATAGATGAGCTACCATATTTAGGATACCATAAACATGTGGTATGTTTATATTTAATGAAGAACATAAACTATCCGAGGTTCAAGATTTAAAAGGCGCAAATTCTGATTCCTCTAATTCCTTTAAGGGTGTTTAATTCAAGGCTATTTAAATTTATTCACAAATACTTCAGCTAACAAGAATTAACAAGATGGAGAAATTCATAATACGATTTCCTAGTGAAAGAATAAGCGATTGAAATGATTCAAAGAATTTCTAGACTTTATCAATGATGGTTTTATAAACCCAGATCAACTGTTCGCTTACCAATGGCCGAATAACAAAAGCTTAAACTAGATGAAATATTGTCAATAGAAATTGCCATGAGGCTGGCAGCTTGGCATTAATGCTATAGGCCTAGTTCATGTTATTATCATTACTATACTCTTATAAAATGGGTTCAGAATTCAAGGAGGCTCATATCTCCATATGAAAACATTTCCAATACCTAAGCTATGTACCGACTGACCCACGTTGAAAAGCTTTGGCCAAAGGTTAGTTTTTGCTTGAATCAGTGATCCGAAACACCATCTGCTACCGAAATAGGCCTGTTGATTCACTGTAGAAACCAGCATATATTTAACAACAAACACACCTGGCTTCTTGCACCTTCAAAAGGGAATCCTGATGCCAGTAAATTTCACCTTCTCCAAACTACAGTAGTCTTGCTTCAAGCCCTTGAAACACACCTCAACCCAACAGGGTAGTGAAGTAGATAAGCGGAGGGGGAGGGGTCTACAGACTTGATTAAGATTAACCAGCAGACGCCAGAACTATAGAATATGCAACATAATACTTGGAATTCTGATTCAGAAGAAGAGTTAGTAGTTTTGCATTAAGTCTTCCTATCAACTCATAACACCTCATCCCCATAAAGGAAAATTATTGGTGATGGGGGAGGTTTAGAGGCTTGGAGCAAGACTAGAATATCTCTGCTATTGTTTTAATTAAACTATTATCCAAAAAATTTCACTAAAACTCCCAGCTCTTGATCATGCTGTTCAGTCACTTAAAAAATTGATTAACTTAAAAACTTTGTTACGCATGTTTGAAGATGATTTTGACAGCACAAAGGCTGGTGACGAAGATTAACCACGCAGTATATAGATTGGCTGTATTAGAACTAGAATGTGTGCAGTCTAGTTATAAACTACCGAACATGAAGATCTCTTTTAAGAAGCAAAGTCGCACAAATGAAAATGGTAGAATTAGAACAGAATCATGTGAAATTTGATTTTATAGATATTATTGACAAATGAGATATTTGGATATACAGACACAAATATTACAAAAGTTCAACAGAATATTTATTCGATTGCTAGTATATTTATGGTAATAAACTTCAGACATCAGACTATCAAAAGTTCAACATGGTGGTACAAAGGTTAAACAATGCATCAGGCTGATATTGAGCTTACAAATGGAATATTATGAACAATCAAAGAAGATTCTAAGAACTTTTCTTGCTATTGTGTTGAATGTAAAGTTTGCCATTTTAGTGCATGAACATACGAACATGAACCGTTTCTATCCTTTATACTTTCACTTGGAAATCTTATTATGAATTTCTACATCTTGTTAATTCTTATACTAACATGAGCCCCTATATAATGTTCTCTGATACCCTGTTTAAAAGGTAGACCAACAGTAACATATGGTCAGAAGTATTTTTGAGAAGAAAATAGGTTGAAAAACAGATTGTAGAATTTAAAGATGACCTAGTTTTGTTCTGAATCAATTTAGACCTAAATTATTGCAATCATTAAAATTGGCAATTCCAGACATTTGATGCAAACATAAATAAAGCTACAAAATAATCAGGGCATCTAATAAGACAATATTGCAATTAAACACAATCAAATATTCTATGCATGAAAACCTTAGCAAACTATTTAGCAGGTTAACACTGCAAAAACCCTTTCAGCGATGGGGAGAAATTCTAGAGAAAACATAGTTGATGGAATGTGCCTGTTGCGAGATAGGTTATTTTAGTCTAATCTCATTCTATTTGCAGTGAACATATCTGTTTTTGTATAACTTGTTTTCAAACTGAAGAAGCTACCAGTTAATTGAAGGAATGTTACAAAAATAAATTCCCCCCCTCGATCAGTTTCAAGATAACTGTTATATAAGTCATTTGTTATGATATGTTACATAAACAATGACAAGCGATTGAAGTATTCTAGCGAAATCCATAATGCAGTAAAATGTCAAAGATTCAACAACATTTCTTCCGTACTTAACACAACTTCGATTGATAATCAGAGAAACTGTCCACCAATATTCAAAACAGCTGATCTTTGCAAAAGAGCCACCATCTTGAAATTCTGAACCAATCAAGTTGAAAATACTCAGACCAAATTATTATGTTTAGACCCAGAATAGGTTGATCAACAATTTTAGAATATAGTCATATGGAAAAATCAACAATATATAAACAATAAACACATACCTGGATATGATTTGAGTTAGTATTATACCCGTAGATCAATTGCACATATGGTCTCTGAAATCGTTCGATAGTCTGTTGCAAAAATGGCAGACCGTTTTATTCTTGTCGCACTTGTTATCGTATTTCGCCGATCCTGTAATTTTTCTCGGTTTGATTCTTCGATATTCTTATTCTTCGTCAGTTTTCCCTGCAAACTGTGTATAAAATATTTACAAAACTCAAACTAAACCCCCGAAATTCGGCTCTACAAAGAGCCACTATTTACAAGCACATCATTTCGCCACTTTTTCCTTACAATCATACTATATTGAGTTGGAGGCTACAAAGCAACATCAATTAACCGATTCCGAAAAATATGCCACTTATTAACAGATGGTTTTTTGATGAAACAACAATGAAATAGTGTATATTTCTATGTTCCGTACACTTTTGAACTATTGTAAAACTTTAAACCTCCATGCTCACCGAATCCAAGGCAAAACGCTGATGTTGATTGATGCTAATTAGATTGTTTGTAATTGGCCATGTTTTGCTCACCTTTTTGAGTCACATCAAAACATGTAATGACGTCAGAGGGCATCACCATGATATGGAAAATCCCCCCTCATCATCAATCACCTCTGAATCAGCATCTCCATAATGAGAATGGTCTTATTCTAAACTATCATGCTGTTGTTGGTGGGTGTATTCATCTTCAAAAAATCCAAACTTTACCCAAGATTGATATCCATATCTTCTAAGTCATGGTTTTTAATCTGCTCAAGTGGCAACTTCTCAAAAACAGAAACATCATCCAAATCCAATGAATAAATGGAATCACTATTTGGTGGAAACTAACCCCGGGAAACTAACATACCTAAACTTACTCACTTCGAGAGCCATGTTAGATTTTCAAAATCCAAATAGCTTTCGCAGGAAGTAAACCTAAACTATCTTAATAACTGTATTATCTTTGAAAATATGGATGCTTCATATATATTTTCATTCCAATTGTTTTATTTTGATATACAATGTTCCATAAATGTCTAAATGTTTTCAATGTATTGGATATTAGCATCAGTTTATTATATTAATTCTGTTTACTGTTGTTCTCCTAGTTTTAAATAAGAAACATTTACTGTAAACATGAGATTCTATCTGGTAAGAAATTTAAATTAACACATACTAGGCTTTTGAAAATTTAGATAGTTGTTCAAGATTGTTATTCTTATTATTTGAGGCCTGGAATTCTGTAACACACATATAGAAAACCATTTTTTCAGTAAGAAAACCACACAATAGCATTATTTTGTTATGGTTTGAACTTCCTTCCCTCCACCAGAGACAAAAATGTTTTTTATGTCTCTGCCTCCACTCATCTAACAGAATTTCAAAGATTTGATTTCTCTTTCTCTTGAATATTAAAAAATTAACACACTAACAAAATCATCATGAACCCTACCCTTTGCATTTGTTTGACTTCACTTCTTAAAAGAGAGCTTTGTCGGTAGTTTATAACTAGACTCTGTGTGCAGGGTACATTAACCTCCTCTCCTAAATAATTTCTTTTTATAATATTGTATTAAAATAACCCAGCATACCTTAAAAGTTTTATTCTATTCGATTTTTTATTTATTTAGATTTTATTTATTCAGGGATATCTAATGAGAAGAACATCTGTTTTCTTGTTTCCATTAGAACCCTGCAGAAATAGTATATAAATTCATAGTATATAAACACAGGACACTTTTTTTACTTTGCACAAGTGACATTGAATTATACACATAATGGGCAAGAAAATATAATTCGTGTATAACCAATATGCTCATTTATAGATGTCACATTAGCATGTAAATAAAGCACATCTACTTTCACTTTTGGTTTCACTGCGCATGCTCATTGATCATATTTGGTCCGTGTTTTCAAATCTGTAATCCCCATTTTCTGTCTTTTCCAACATGGCTCCCAAAAAGAAGGTAGTCGAAAGTAAGATAGAAATTTTGTTTATATTATATTTGCGTCTGTACTCCACTAACTTTCATTCTGTCTTGCAAATCTAAAATTTGATACATACAAGTGTATGTTAAGAATCGAATTGTGATTCCCATACCTACAATTGCTGAGAAAAACACCCTACTTTGATGAACATGTGAATAATTTTCATTTTTTTGAAGAAATTTTTATAAATAATTTTAAATAAACTTAAGATTCTGTGTTTGAACTACAATGGCATATACGCTGATTTATGTTTAATATGGTGGCAAACTGACAGGCTCAGAGCAGAAAGTACGTAGTATCCCCAAAATAATTTGCTATCATCATGGTTGCAGAAAAGAAGGCCCCAGCTGCCAAGGCTGAGGCCCCAAAGCCAGTGAAGACCAAGGAGCCAACCAAGGTGAAAGAGAAGGCGCTCAAGGCCAGAAAGAATGTCTTGAAGGGAAATAGGGAGACTAGAAAGAGGAAACAGATGATGACTGTTCACTTCAGACGGCCCAAGACCCTGCGTTTAGCTCGTGCACCTAGATATCCACGAAAGAGTACTCCTCATAGGAACAGGTAAGACTGCACAAGTAAACTAGTCCCAATGTTGTTATTTCACATTTCTTTTACATGATTTGTATAGATTTATTTTACATTGAGACGACTCCTGGCCTGTCTGTCCAACCAAAGTCCAATCCATCACAGAATATACTTTTATCATCAAGTAGATAATATTGAATCTTACCTTAGACGCGTCAAACGCTTGATAACTGATGAAATGTAATGAATCTGAACATATATCCAATATGGCGCCGGTCTCGGGGTTGTAATCAGAAACTTACACCAAACAGAAAATGAAAAAACATGTGAATTTTAGAATTATTTGAACTAGGATAACAAAGTTCTGCATACGGTCTAGGGGTAGTTATCAGAAATTTACAACAGAGTTCTTTGATCTTCAGTTAGTTATACTACTCGCATATATCATTTACATGGCCAGGATCACAATGGTCATGGTCAAAATGACCCTTACCATGCTGTTGGACTGTGCCAGAATCGGATCAGAATCCGAACTTTGTCTCACGGAATCGGAACTTTCGGACCACAAACGAAAAGAAACTAACCTACTTGATAAGTTGATACGACAGTGTCTTAGCTTAATTCGCACATTGTTTTACATTTGTTTTGATTGATTGGAAGTAAAACTCCAAAGTTATCTTAAAAACTATCAATCTTTTATCTCCCTCTCCTCATGATTTGGTTTGCCGGCCATTTTCACTTTTGTGTAAATCTAGATCTATTTTATCATTACAAGAACAAATTCTTATTGATCGTTTGAGTGAATGGTTGTCTTCCAAAATATGTTTTTGAGGTCTGACATGTCTCACTGTTCCTCAGCTGGATGACTCTAGTTAGTATCATTCAAGATGGTGGCCAAAATTCTTTTGTTTTCGATAATCCTCCGATTTCAGCTAAACTAAGTTGAATCTTGTTTCCAAATGCAATCAAAACTTTATTAGTTTGTATGGCGAAACATTTGGAATCCAGATTCATCTTAGTTAAGTTGAAATCTGAGGTTTATCGAGAAAAGAAAGAATTTTGGCCACCACCTTGAATGATATACTGTACACCCGGTATTATTCGCGAGCTTTAATTTCGCGAATTTTGCGAAAACACGTTTTCGCGGCTATTAAATTTCGCTCTTGAATTGCCATTCAGTAATGCGTGCCGGGCTATGTTTGCCCTTTCTGCATCATTATACACCTTATATGTCCCGCGTTTGGAATTGGACTTCATGTTATCTTTTGCAATTTGCACTTCATTTGCAATGATGTCATCGATATCATTATTGGGCCTACTGGTGGTACTGGGCCGAATCAGTCAACGTAAAATGGACATTACTGAAGTCCTGAAGATCGTGGATATCCAATTATCACCCAATAACACTAGACGAAACGTTTACACAAAACGAAATGCATCAGAGCCCCGGGTAATAACAAATTCCCGGGGATTTAATTGGCAATTTTGAGACGATAATTTTTCGCGATTTTAACACCATCGCGAAAAGCGTGAAAGTTAATCGCACGCGAATAATACCGGGCGTACAGTATACTAACTGCAGTATAGCGTCATCATGACTCATCCAGCTGTCTGAAGTTTGAATAAATATCTACATTGCAGTTATACATTGCCTATCGTGATTCATGAACCTTAAACTTCTATTTTCATGTTTTTAGACTGGATCAGTTCAAAATTGTCAAATTCCCACTGACAACTGAATCTGCCATGAAGAAAATTGAGGATAACAATACCCTGGTATTCATCGTTGATATCAGAGCCAATAAGCCACAGATTAAAACAGCAGTCAAAAAGTTATATGACATTGATGTCGCCAAAGTTAACACTTTAGTAAGGTAAGTGAAGTATGCGATATATTCTAGATTCATTTTCATTGGGAACTGAAACATTTCTTGTTCTCATAGGGGCCAGGTATTTATTTTACAGTAGATGGAAGAAATCAATGGCCTGCTTAACCACCATACACTTTTATTTTAAGTCATCCATAAGTTTTTGCACATTATTCAGGTTGTTGTTTTGTCAGTGAACAAATAACTTGGTAGCCTGTGCAAGATTAAGACTCCCTTGTCACAGTATATGGATTACACTATAACATAAACTGTAAACCAAGGAGGTACATGTTTCTGTTCAATTTACTTGCTTGTCCTTCCATTTTTTTGGCCATCTATTGATAGCAGGCCAGATTATGAAATAAACAAACTTTAACATGTCAAGATCTGGTCAAACTGCTTCAGAATTCCTATTTTCAATGAAAAATATAACCAAACTTTGTTTATATTGATTAGGTTTACATTTTCTTGTTCATCTTGTCCAATCAGAGAGTGGGGAATATAACAATGATTTACAAAACTACTGTTTCATTTTATATTTAGTTCATGCCTCTACAGCTTAAGGTGTTTTACCTTACAATAATCACTGAAAGATGAACATCAGTGTTCTCCCTAATTTTTCAAAAGTGAGTGGTGAAAAAGTTTGAATAAAAATTGATGGGTGGTGGCAAAATTATTAGGGTGGTGATAAGTTTACAAAAACGTGCTTAAAAAAAATCGGCGCCGCTTCGCGGCGTTACTTTATCACAATCATTTGCATCAACAGCCAATTGTTATAGATATGCTAAACATTTGTTTTGATGTTATGTAATTACATAACATCAAAACAAATGAAATTTAGCACTGTATAATCATCTACTTAAATGACAATAGGCCATGTTGCAATATAAATGCTCAGAGGTTTGTTTTAATTCAATGTTCAATTTAATATTTATTTCCATAATATAATATAAAGTTCAATATAGAAAATAATTTTCAGTATGTGGCCACATATTTCTTCAATATAATTCAACTATAATTATTGAGTCCGAAATTCCCGGGAAAATGTGCACACATGTTCATTTTCGTTCAGTGTACTCTTCAAAATCGGAGGCTGTGAGTCCTGACCTAGAAAAAACATGTTTCATTTCTGTGCAAATCAAACTGTTTTTTATCAAAATAGAAGGTAAATTGAAGATTCTTTAGTGCAAGAAAGGTAAGTACAGACATTTCTTTATCTACATAGAGCATTTTGTATCGTTTTCAAGCAAAACGGGCTGAGATTTTGATGTGATTAAAACTTTGATTTTTTTCAATTTTTATTTTCACTTTGGGAAATTTTTCTGTCGAAGTCTAATGCGTGGCGCTGTTAATAAATGTGTGGCGCGCAATAAATCAGCGTGGCGCAGCCACAATGTGCGTGGCGCGAGCGCCACGCATTTTTCAGTCAGGGAGAACACAGAACATGTTTGCTGAATATTGAATGAAATATTTGTAAAGAATTGTATTTATTGAATCTGACACTATAATAAACTTGGTAAGACTAAAACTTAAATAAAAAGTATGTTAATAATATTCTGATTTCAGGCCAGATGGTGAGAAGAAAGCTTATGTACGACTAGCACCAGACTATGATGCCCTAGATGTTGCTAACAAAGTAAGTGAACCCAGGTTTCATTGGAAAGTCTGTGACATCTGTTATTTGTACATCTTGTATGATGGAACTATGCATTGCCATGTCCCTTGCTTGTGTTCCAAATTATGGTGTTTGCCATCTCAACGAGTATAACTTGCATACTATTAAAGTTTAGATTAAATTAAAAACAAATACAGAATTGTTGTAATCAACCCTCGTTGATATGATTAAGAACTTTCACAATAATTTCACCATTAGAAGAAATATTATGTATCCCCTGTTTCAATATTATATTTGAAATGATATTAACTGTTGCTAGCAATTTTGTCACCCATTACATTTCTCATTCTAGATTTGAGATCGATCGATTTGAAAGCAAAATATCTAAAATGTATTGTTTCGTGTACTTTCAGATTGGTATCATATAAACTACTATTCACCATTGCCTGCTCATGAAAGATCTGTGAGTGCTGTGCTACCACTTGGACATAGGACAATAATACATATTGACAATGTCTGCTTTACCTGGTGCAACCAAATAAATGAAAAAAAAGTCGATATTGAAGTTGTGTTTATTTCAAGTGAAGATGTTAATCTGATAAGGGAGGAAGTAGTTAATGGATAATATGGATGTCAGAAACTGCAGTCTTTATGTCACTTCCAAAAGTGGTGACATATTGTTATAGTCTCAAACTTTTTTGTGGATGGTAATCAGCAGTTTGTGTTCAGCGTCTGTAACAAATGGCAGGTGGTGACATTTTGCATGTTAATGCCTTGTCACTATTTTTGTTGTATTAAAAATACACATGCTGGGCTGGTGACATAGATTTGCCTAGCAAGGATTCTAAGGTATTTTGGAGGTACTCATGGCAATATATTGAATGATTCTTTTTGGTAACAAGATGATGAAGGGTCTGAATATGTTTTCAGAATTGGCTGCATATTATAAAAGTTGAATATCCTCCATTTTTGTCCACACATGAAGCATACTCTACTTTTGAACATTCAAGCTTTGGTTGTTGCTGCTCTTTGTTATTGATATAATTAAAGTATTACCTCTTGCTAAATAAGATATTTATCTATTTACATTGATAAAATTAATCTTGAATCTCTTGAAGTACTCTTGCCAAAGCTCAGATTTTCAAAAGCAGAAAACTGCGTTTCATGTGTATTATTTACACAATTTATATCTGGATAGGTCGATATATACAGAATATCACATCATTTTGAGTGATATCATTTTTATCGCCGAGTTGATATCAAATATCAACACGAGTGAGCGAAGCGAATGAGTGTTGATATTTGATATCTACGAGGCGATAAAATGATATCACGAGAAATTATGTGATATTGGGTTTATCCCATGATTACAATCACATTTTAATAATAAAATATAACAAGAGAATAAATTATCTGACCTAATTTCCAACAATATTGTGGCGCGAAATGCAAATGAGATATCACATGGATATGCGTGAGATGAACGATATCACACGCATATGAGTTTGATAAACGATTTTCTGGAAAATACCACACGGATTTCAATAATATCAGAAATATCAATAGCTGTTATTGTACAGATAACACATTAATCGTGGGATAGAAAAGAATATTCTCAGTAAAAAGCCACAAGAGGCCTATGGCTATATTGTTACCAAAACTTATTCACTGCCACACCCCTAAGTTCGAGGTATTGAAAGAGCAAAATGTTTATATCTCCCAAATAGCAAAAGTGGTAACCAACCATATTTAATATTAAAAAAAATTATAATTGATAAAAATCTAGTTTTCGTCAATATCAGGATGATGATTCTACGGACACTTCGTCTAGATTCTGCCTTTAATAAAAAATATAAATGAAGTTGTGGTAAGTGATGGATAAATAGATGGCATTGGTAGTTTTTGTTTTGCTAACTCTGACTAAAGTTTGATTTCTAAATATATCAAATATTTAATTGGATTGATGTAGAACTACATTGGCAGATCTTGAGACGTGGATTGTCCTTTATCAGAAAACTTGAAAATAAGAAAAATAAATTGAGAGGAGGGAATTTCTGATAAGGCCTCTACTTTTGGGAATGTAATATTTCACGAAGTTGAGTATCTGGTCCATATTAACCTGTTCACTATACCAAGCAGAATGAACTTGAACAAAATTGTACTTCAGTTTTCAAACTTTATTTTCTTATAACAACATGATGTCCAGCCACAATATCTCAACATCAAATAAATACTCTATGCTCCTCTTGTACAAAACTCTTCTAATTGCTCTTCTATGCTCCTTGCTTACAAATCTCTGAATATAAAAGCAATTACATAAATACAATCTTAGGGACACTGTAAGAAAGATCTCAATTACGTCAACATGTTTAGCCTCTGTACCATAACTGTACCATAACCATAATATCAGAAATATCAATAGCTGCTATTGTACAGATAACACATTAATCGTGGGATAGAAAAGAATATTCTCAGTAAAAAGCCGCAAGAGGCCTATGGCTATATTGTTACCAAAACCTATTCACTGCCACACCCCTAAGTTCGAGGTATTGAAAGAGCAAAATGTTTATATCTCCCAAATAGCAAAAGTGGTAACCAACCATATTTAATATTAAAAAAAATTATAATTGATAAAAATCTAGTTTTCGTCAATATCAGGATGATGATTCTACGGACACTTCGTCTAGATTCTGCCTTTAATAAAAAATATAAATGAAGTTGTGGTAAGTGATGGATAAATAGATGGCATTGGTAGTTTTTGTTTTGCTAACTGCCTAAAGTTTGATTTCTAAATATATCAAATATTTGATTGGATTGATGTAGAACTACATTGGCAGATCTTGAGACATGAATTGTCCTTTTTCAGAAAACTTGAAAATAAGAAAAATATACTGAGAGGAGGGAATTTCTGATAAGGCCTCTACTTTTGGGAATGTAATATTTCACAAAGTTGAGTATCTGGTCCATATTAACCTGTTCACTATACCAAGCAGAATGAACTTGAACAAAATTGTACTTCAGTTTTCAAACTTTATTTTCTTATAACAACATGATGTCCAGCCACAATATCTCAACATCAAATAAATATTCTATGCTCCTCTTGTACAAAACTTCTAATCTATGCTCCTTGCTTACAAATCTCTGAATATAAAAGCAATTACATAAATACAATCTTAGGAACACTGTAAGAAAGATCTCAATTACGTCAACATGTTTAGCCTCTGTACCATAACACACTTGCCAACCTCTTAACAATAGAAACGGGACATATTAAAAAATATAAGAGATTTTCGTTCCAAAGCAGGTTATTTTGAAAAAGCAGGAACAACCCCAAAATATTCGAGTAGATCAGGAGATTTTGAAAAGCAGGGAAACAAGAGGAATCCAGGAGTTACAGAGAGAAATTGGAGGTCTGGTCATAGAAATGGAACAGTCTTAAATGAGAAAATCAAGAGGGATTTATTTAGAAATCAGAAAATAAAAAATGGAAAATCTGAGGAAACAGAAACTGAAAAGCAGGAGATCTCCCCTAGTCTGATCCTGGCAGGCGTGCGATATGTACAATCATATAAGTCCAGATTAAGGACTGGCTGTCACAAACAAGAGATCTTTACAATGTACCTTAGAGTGTTCATATTAAATATATTTTAAATATGACTGCCTAAATAGTCTCAACTTATTAGTAGTATTTCTCATCAACTCCGGTCAATGTAAAAAGCAGAAACACTCCAATATACAAATTATTTGTACATATACACTACAATGCATTATACTACATCTATATTTCTTAGGATTAACATAGTCAGTTAACCATTCAAATGTTTCATTTTAATGTCAAAAATGGGGCAATTAGACATGGAAAAATATGTATATATTTTTGTTACTTATTTTCTCTTTTTGTTATTTCATAATTTTACAATTGTGAATTTCAAGGCATCTCTTTACCATGTGACCAATTTTACAATGCAATGTTATTTTGTGTTTGTTCAAATCACACTGGGGAGTATCGTGATGCAACAACACCGTGTTGTTGCATCAAGATGGCCAGACTTCCGGTGATAGATTTTCGTACGATATGTTGTTTCCCCAATTTAAACCCATTTATAGGACGAGTTTCTCAATAAACATACACGTGAAGTTAGCGCTCGATCTATATTTTAAGAAACTGTCATTAGTATACATGTAGCATAATCAAGAAGCAAGAAGTTCACTGTTTTAGTTCCTCACTATTGATGCAACAACACCAAACCGAAGATGCAACAACACTCCTCTAGATTTGAGCAATGATGCAACAACACCAATTAATAGTATAATTTCAGAAGACCATAAATCTCGAGAGGAACAGATTTTTAAATGCTACTATTGCAACACCGGGCCAGTACCCATTTGCGTTCTTCTCAGGCATTCAAAATACACGTTCTGCGGGCGAAGATTCTTTATATGTATTCTCAAAAATTTATACTTTTAAATATCATAATGTACTGGAAGTTGTTTTATAACATAGTTCAATCGCCTTTAACATTGCAAGCTATAGTAACCCAATCTATTATCATAAACCCCTGTTCCATAGCTTGATGACCCTGATACCAGTTAGTATCATTCAAAATGGTGGACAAACATCTTCGTTCTCGGTAAACACGACAAGCTATTGGAAATCTTGCACAGCGCACATGTAGAAGTATTGTTCTCTTTGGATTCGTTCTCCCCGATTGAGTAAAAAGGTAGGTAATAGGATTTAGGTCCCGAAAAGGTAAATTGATAGGGGTACAGTAATCCCAGATTCCCCCTGGGCCCTCGGGAAATATCATAATGTGTCCCGAAATAAAACCAATATTGAATCCCTCTCAGTAAATAACCTCTATATAATAACATTGTATAACCAGTCGAAATGTTGAGGCATGCGCAGACCTCTATTTAGTGATATTTTCATTTCAAATATGGCGGCCAATCCGATGTCTGACGACCCCTACAAAGAATCTAGGCAGTTTGCATTTTTACCTCCTGTGAAATAACAAGTGGAATTTAGTAGTTGTTTTGTGTTTTATTATCATTCTGCATCGTAATTCTATGTGATGTGGTGTTGAAATGTCAGCAGAAATGCATATCCATACGATAATCGAGTGAATCAGATAACAGATTTTTCGAAAACCCGTCTCGTGCTAAGCGTGTAAAAACTTGTATTAACATGCTCAAAAGTGCCAATGTGCACATCAATGTCAAGCTAAATCAATGTTGTGTCTAAAACAGGTACCCGATCTACTCAAAACAGCTTGTCATTCAAGTATACACGCTTAGCAAACACGGCGAAATGACCAGAATCTTGGAATTTCGTTCAAGAGCTAGTAATGTTTGCTCCGGTCTTCGTCATAATTGTTCAACAGACTTCACGCATGCGCAGGAGAAAAACCATCAACCAATAAGGTTTATAAATCAATTTTGCGCATGCGCCTTACAACGGTAAAGAAATTGGTATTTATAAACGAACCAGTTTGAGATAACCCGATATCAGTCGGAGAAATCTGACGATCTACGAAACTCACTTCAAAAAATCAAATGCGGACTGACGGCGTATTCTACTATGTTTGGATCTAAGATTTTCAGTATAGATAAAGTCTTTTATGATCTTTCGAATGAGGTAAGTCTCTAGTTCGAAAGACAATCGTATCAACTTGAACAGAAGTTGAGTTTTGACGAAAAATTTTAACATGCGCAGAAGTCCCATTTTCGTTGTACCATATTGACTGTAACTGCACTATCATTAAACCAACACTCATCGGAAGTTATGGCGTTTTGAAAACTCAAAATCGCTAAATTTGGTGCCCAATGTTAAGTCAATGGGAAAAAAGTTTTTTTGAAGTGTAAAATACGACATATATACGACCGAGTACAGCTTAATTTAATGAAAGCCTTTAAATGAAGGGTACCTCAAAAGCAATCTAGCTTCAAAATTTGGACACAAAAATGTGTAGGTCAAAATCTAGGTCAAATTCAAAGTTTTCCTTATTTTTGTGATTCTGACACTACACTTCAATCATATTCTTCGAAATTGTGTATACATGTAGCCAAGAGTGTACTAATAGTTTAACCCACTTTTGAGATATGGTGTCCAAAAAGTAGGTCAAAATAGAAAATTCTCCAAAATTAACGTTTGAGTTATGAATGAAGAATAGAATTTTCTCAGGAATCAGAATCTGCAAACCAAATTTCGATCCGACTTCCGGTTCAGAAGTTACGGCGGTTTGAAATTTCGAGAAAAATCGATCTGATTTACTCACGTCGAGAGCTACCATGTTAGATTTTGAAAGTATAGCTCTCCATCGTGAGGATCTCCCAGCTGAAGAATTGTGACATCTAATTTTGATCAGCGCCAGTCAACGGCTTGCTGTTTGTCTCAAACTGTAGCCTACATTATGGGCTCATATGTGTCTACTTTCCCCGTGCATGTAGGATCGCGGATGTGCTTCTATGGCGATCAGGAGTTCTAATTGTTATTGTTCGATACCCATTTCCAATATGGCGGTTAAACGGAAATACTATCGACGCATGCGCAACTTGGGAAACGTCAAGCCGCCATATTGAATATACCTGGCCAAAACTTTTGACACGACCAATAAAATGAAGTCCTGATCGATACATAGGGCAGTGAGACGTTCTATAGTTGAGCTGAATGAAAATGGCGATGTAGGATACATTTTCAGGTATATAATGTGCAACATGAGTCAGCTGAATTCCCTGAAATTTTCTTTGAAGTCAGGATTCTTAAGCTGTTGATTCTAGCGATAGAGAGCTATACTTTCAAAATCTAAGTAGCTCTCGACGGGAGTAAGATCTGATTGTATCCCGATAGAAAGTCAAGAGTAGCGAAGAAAATGTTGAAAAATCCATACATCTTTCCATCCATACTTCCTATCCTATCCTACTATTCTATCCTATCGTTCCCTCTTATTCTATCCTATCCTTCCTATCCTATCCCTTTTATCCCTATCCGTTCCTTCCTATCTATCCTTCATATCCTTTCCTTCCTATCTATCTATCCTTCCTATCCTTTCCTTCCTATCTTATCCTTCCTTGCTATTCTATCCTATCCTTCTTCTCTAGCTATTCTCTCCTATCGTTCCATCCTGTTCTGTCCCATCCCTCCTTCCTATTTCATCCATCCATCCATCTTTTTCTGGATGACTCGGCTTAGAAAAGTCCAGATCTGGAGTCTGAAATTGAACTTGTTCAATTTCCAAAGTCTAGTTATATTAGTTCTTTGTAAACAATTTCCATACGATACGGTAAATCAAGGGGATTTAATTAAGAAAATGAATAATCTTTATTTTTCAGATAAAATATCAACGAGGTTGGCTCCCGGGGATTCAATACTTAGCCTATGTATTTAGTTTACCTTGTATATCCTTTTAACTTTGATAAAGACAAATACATTAAGGAACCAAACAAAATACGTTTCATTCATGAACCACGCACTCACGCGTTTTATTCATGTCCCGACCAACACCTATAAACAGAACATAAAACAGTTTCTCTTGATATTCAATGATACATTATATTGGCGTTTTTGCATCAGCACATTGGTGTTGTTGCATCATTGATAATAAACAGAGTGGTGTTGTTGCATCAATAGTGAGGAATTAAAACCGCGAATTTCTCGCTTCTTGATGATGCTACATGCATACTAATGAGAGTTTTTTAAAATATAGATCATGAGCTAACTGCACGTGTATGATTATTGAGCAACTCATACTAGAAATGGGTTTAAATTGGGAAAACAAAATATCGTACGAAAATCTATCACCGGAAGTCTGGCCATCTTGATGCAACAACACGGTGTTGTTGCATCACGATACCCCCCAGTGAAATCAGGAAGATGTGGATTTTTAAATGCAATATTTTCCTGAAGATGGACACAATTCATTATATGTACACCTTATCATTAAAGGGGCATCAAAGACTACGATATTTTTTGACAACGACAGTTCATGCCTGTCTGGGATGTTACCTTGCAAATTTGAACATTTCTGTGCTTTAAATCTTCAATGAATTCCATTACATATTTCATTCAATCAGATGATAACATGAGGATTGTAATGGACTCACTCCCTTCTTTGCTGCCCCTTTTTTATCAGTTTATTAAGCATTTGTTCTTTTATCTTTGTCCCTGATCCTAATCCTGTAACCAGGTTTTTAATGCTAAACTATTTACACTACATATATTTAAATATATATAATATACACTATGCCATGGTAACATTTACCCAATACAATCATTGTACATACAAAACTATATATAGACTATATCATTTGGTAATAATATCACACATCATTTTAACATGCAGTTTGTACCTGTATAATATACATATTAATATCAACATTGACAGGGGTGCAGCCAAAATCTAAAAGAGCGAGGTTTTTGAGCTAAAGGCAATACTATGGAAAGGTGTCTCTAGGTATACATATGATCATTAAACAAATATTAATAATATTAATTTTATGTAAACTGTTTTTAAAAATGTTTTAGAACATTAGTCAACAATACCTCTTTTCCTCGTCTCTAGCCACACCCATGACATAAAAATATTATCATAAACTATTTTCAATTGCTAACAATTTTTTGCTCAGCTTAAAAAATATTTACAAAGTGGTCGTGAACTTAGGCTAGCGAAGTCATAATTTATTCTAAATAAGATTTTCAATGCTAATCTATATTTATAGTGATATTATTGCACTAACTTTATCATGAATAATCGCCAAACAATATCAATTTTCCAACATCAATTTTGATAGCAAAGGGCTCCAGTTTTTAAAGTAGGAGATCCTTGCAAGACAGTGACATCTATGAACTCTGGGAAATCACCTCCTCGGAGTATAATTCTGGCAATATCTTGTTTCGGAAGGTTTGCAATGAACTAAATGCAGTATGATTTGGCAATAGATCTTGTTAAAATAAAGAATGTTCTTACAAAAATATACACAGTGAGTGTCTTAAGAAAGCCATGAAGGTGGAATATTACTAGGCCAGAGTATTAAATTCTTGGTTTAGCCTCACATTGTTCTCGTAGAAGAGTGAGGTTGCATCATTCATTTTCCCCAAAATTGGACTGTTATGTAAAAAAGTGCATATAATGTTCCTATCAAAATAAATGTCACAATTTTTTTTTACCAAGGCGGCGTGGAGCCTCTCATATTAATTTTTATACTGTTTAAATGATGTGACAGGATATGTTAAACATATAGTTTATTTTCCTTAGCCCTTGTATCTTGATTTTTATTTGAGTGATCAAGTCATATAATAATATTCCCATACACTCCTCAAATGCATCCTTTATATACATGTATTTTATATAAAGCTTCTATGTTGGTTATCTGGCTGGTTATTATAATTTATAGGCATATGGGCATCCTTAAGTCATTGAAAGTCTTGACACCTCATTTTACAAATGTCACACATGCTATTTACTTAACATGAAATATTGCCTCATAAGCTACGGATAAGGTGCCTCATTTGTGATTCAACACAAAATATAGAGTATTCACAATACACAAGCCAATGATATAATATTAAAAGGTAGAATCAGATCAAAAATTGTTTCACTTTTAATTTAGCTTTTAGTTTCTGGTACATGGTTCATCTAGTTTTCTTTAGTTGTCTTATCACTAAATGTTGCATTCTCATCAGATTTTTTAGATTTGTCAGTTTTAGATATTTTTCTCATCAGTAGATTCACGATCATTAATGGGGTTTTCAGATACATTCTTTTTATTTGTGTCATTTATGTTCGAATCATTTGTATCTTTTGTCTCATCCTGTTTTGTAACATTTCTATTGTCCATATCTTTCATTCCTGAGTCTTTAATGGTTTCTGTAGGTTTATCATTAGAATCTTTTAAATCATTTATAAGAATATCATTAGGCTCATCAATCTTATTTTCAGTGTCATTTATCTGATTATTTGACTCATGTTTTGTAGTTTTCACCTTATCAAGCTCAATATTATCATCTTCTAAGTTAGGACCAACCTTCCCACCTACGTCTCCATTAAGATAGTCTGGTGATGAAGTACCTTCATGAATATCTTTCTCTGTACTTTCTATAGGAGTCATTGCTTCTGATTGTGTCTTTGATGTTTTGGGCATTTCCGAACTAGGTTTACTTTCAGAACTGTTAACATCACCTGGCTGTGAGTCATCTTCTGATTCTAACTCAGGATTCTTAACGTCATTTTCAAGATTTTTATCTGCTTTGTTATTGTCTTGAGAAGATCCTGATTTGTCTGATGATTTTAATTCAGAGTCCATTTCATAGGTGGCAGGGTGATTTGTTTTATCTGTGTCAGTTGCTATGCCAGAATCTACATAATCAAAGCCATCAAATGTAACATTATTTGTTCCTTTTACCCTATCCTCATCATTGCTTCTCATTCTTTTCAACTGAACATTTCTTTCAGAGTCGCTCTCAGGATTTTCAGTATGCTTTCGCCAACTTCCGAAAATATTAAATCTCGAACCTTTTCTTTTCGGACGTTTCTTCATCCTTCCAGCATAAGGGTCTTTCTTTGTTGGTTTTTCTCGTCCAAATCTCCAAATTAAAACTCCAAATATAATAAAACCTATAAAAGAGGGTATAAATGCCACTCCGGTTATTAAATAACTGAAGTCATAAAACCTGGAGAACATGACTCGATCTTCATCTAAGTAAGTCATATTGGTCTGTGGGTTTGTGTTGTTGGATCGCCAGGCATATGTGATTTGTGTTTGGTTGAACTGTATCAGTTGGTCCGTGTCGAGGACTGTATGTATGCGGTAATCTGCATCTGTGTACTGGCCATAGTCATAGGGAACGTAGAAGATCTGGTTCTTCCACATGTTCAAGTCTAGTATCATCACTATGAATATTATACCATAGTTAAACCACTTTCCTGAAAGTATATAACAGATTATATCATAGTTGAACCACTTCCCCAGTAAACCTTGACTGGTATTAACTAAATCGATTCTACCATGATGAAACAACTTTCCAGAAATGAGAAACACATTGTTTATTCCTCCAAATAATTTTAGTCAATCACTGGAAAAGATTGCATTACCTGTTATATGGACTTCCCACTTTTCTGGGTTAAAGATCTTAGGTATTTTGAAGTTGATGGACGCAGTATTCAAGCCAGGTAGCTTTATATCAAAACTATTGATGAAGTGTGGAAAATCCCAATCCTGTAAGAGTAAAACACATCATTAATTATAGATATTAGAATCAAAAATAACAAATAAACAACATGTTTACAAGAAATGAAAAAAATGAACTCAGCCTTTTTCAGTTTGTAGTTAGCTTGCGTAAGTTAGTGTTAAGAAGTTAATCAGGTGATTGATTTAGATTACATTCGCAGCCAAGGTGCACAGACCTGTCAATCTGTGCCTAAAATTACTTCTGGTCATAATATTTTGAATTTACAAATTCTCTCTTAATTTTAAATAAATGATGTTCATTATTCAATAAAATTTCTGTATATTTTGATTTGTTGACTGCATGCTTGATTAACTTTATTTCTTGTTGTTTCCTCTCTGTCTACTCGATTTATAATTCAAATATCATGTCATTTTTCTTGAATAATTTTTTTTCCAAATTGACAGGTCCGTTGATATGACAGTTAATTGACGCACAATTTAATGGTACAATAGTCATACTAAAGGCATGCAAATGTGTTAGAATAACCCATGCAAAGAGAAATATAGAAAATAGTAAAATTATTCAAAGTATTGTAGAAAAATGTACCAAAATGTACCAAAACATGCATTAAGAAGAGCCAATCCTAGGTCCCAGCATAGGATCCACAGAGCTTTTCTCTTGGATATAAGCCCTCAGTGAAATGTTAAATAAGCAGCACATAGTAAATACTAAATAGTTAGTAATAGATGTGCACTGGTGGGTAGAATAAGGCATGCTCTCAGAGTTGCCAAGTTGTGCTTTAAAGAATCAAGCTGAAAAATAGAATTACAGTAGTATAAATGTACAGTATATATATCTAAACATTTAAAAAAAATATAGAAAAACAATACAAACTACGACTAAAATACTTGACGATCACAGTGATGACTACAAACATAGATAGAACATACCAGAAACATTAGTATGACAAAGACAGTTGATATAAGAGAATACTGGGGCCTGTTTCTCATAAAAAAAACCACATTGTGAATTTGCTTCAAATGTCTGAGAAACGGCCCCCTGTCAAAAACTAAATTCCATATTGTGCCAAGAACACTTACATAGAATATGACCAATGTCAACATGTAAACAAAACACATTTCTTAATATTCATTCATATTTTCATATCACAACACAAAATCTGGTTTTCATAGATTTGTATTAGTATCATTATACAGTCATTAGAACAAAATCAAGGGATATTAAATATTTATGGGTTCACTAGATAAGGAGTGACATTTCCAAGTAATTTCCTAATAATGACAATTAGCTATATTTAATACTTTTATCTTACAACACTTTCTAAGGTTTAAGCACGTTTACATCAATCAGGCCCGTAGCCAGGATTTGCCAAGGGGGGGGGGGGTTCAGTTTTCAAAAATTTCCAGGTGGGGGTTCACATTTGACAATTTTGGCCCAAATATGGCTAAAATCACTTGAGAAGTGCTCAAAATTGTGAAAAACTGCATGATTTTGAAAGAATTTTTGGCCAGGGGGGGGGTTCGCCCGAACCCTGCGAACCCCCTGGCTACGGGCCTGTCAATCAACAGAACATCAAGACCTTCTTAATCTAGCATACAGTATTTCTTCAAGTCTTTAGACCCCCTCCCTATTGGCTTCATCTCCTTGTGTATAGGTGTGTAGGGGTGGGGGTCATAAATGCTTGAAGCAAGACTATCTAGTTCAATTCCCAAATAATGGACTAAAAGCCTTGATCCTAAAGAAGACCATGCAATCTAAGGGTAGGTTTGTAAAATAGCATGATGAGCCTATTTTTGAAGACTGGACTAACTTTACCCAGAAATTCCCATTTTTGAGAAGATCTTGGCATTTTGTCAGAAAACAAGGCCTTGAAAAAGGCCCATTTTATTATAATTTTCCCAATTATTTTTCTGTAGGATTTTTTTTGGGCTGTGCACACTGTGCAGACTATTATCTCTAAACATCCCTACACTTAATTCTATATAGACCCCTTAGATTATGCAAATCAAGACTCCATACCTGCATCACAATCAGTAAATCCATGAGAAGAATGAATGACGCTAATATGGATCTAGAAATCTCATTGGATGGGACAAAGTCACGATTGATGCGATCCCATTGGATGATATCCGTGGAGATGATGACGACCACAATTACAGTAAGGCTGACGACAAACACCCAAAACATGATGATCCGATTGTAGCGACGGTTCCACCACCTGCGAACTGGTCTGGCAAATTGGGGGTAAAGTTTTTCTTGCAGCATTATATCCGTCACCTGTAACATTGTACAAGAACATCTTGCTTAATATGTATGTCTATGCTTCATTATTAAATATTGTGATCTATCGTAAAAGCGTAAATTATTTCAAAAGTATAACAGAATGTTACAGAATGTTCCTAATAGCATTAGTTATTTCAAAAGGATAATAGAATGTTATTGATTCCTACTATCAAAATGTAACATAATGTTACAGATTCCTAATAGCGGAAAAAATTATTTCAAAAGTATAACAGAATGTTACAGATGCCAACTGCTGATAACAAAGCTCAACTCTGAATACTGAACATTGTTCACAATCTCTTGATAAAGTTAATAAGTAAAAATAAGAAGGCATTAACATTCAAAATGTCACCACCTGCCATTTGTTACAGATGCTGACCGCCGAAGGCCAACTGCCGACCAATCCACGAAAATTGGAGACTATAACAATATGTCAACACTTCTGGTGGTGACATAATAGCCTTTTCACAAATTACACTCTGAGATATCATTGCAATGTATTTTATAAATATTATATATGTACATTAAAGGGGCAACAAGAATATAAGAAGAATGGAAATTCACCATCCATGCCGTGAAGATGTCTCCATACCAAGTTCCACAGGCAGAGAGGATCTGAATATAACAAGAATGGCAACTCACCATCCATGCTGTGAAGATATCTCCATACCAAGTTCCACAAGCAGAGAGGATCTGAATATAACAAGAATGGCAACTCACCATCCATGCTGTGAAGATATCTCCATACCAAGTTCCACAGGCAGAGAGGATCTGAATATAACAAGAATGGCAACTCACCATCCATGCTGTGAAGATATCTCCTTACCAAGTTCCAAAGGCAGAGAGGATCTGAATATAACAAAAATGGCAACTCACCATCCATGCTGTGAAGATATCTCCATACCAAGTTCCACAGGCAGAGAGGATCTGAATATAACAAGAATGGCAACTCACCATCCATGCTGTGAAGATATCTCCATACCAAGTTCCACAGGCAGAGAGGATCTGAATATAACAAGAATGGCAACTCACCATCCATGCCGTGAAGAAGTCTCCACACCAAGTTCCAAAGGCAGAGACGATCTGAATATAACAAGAATGGCAACTCACCATCCATGCCGTGAAAAAGTCTCCACACCAAGTTCCACAGGCAGAAAGGATCTGAATATAACAAGAATGGCAACTCACCATCCATGCTGTGAAGAAGTCTCCATACCAAGTTCCACAGGCAGAGAGGATTTGAATATTACAAGAATGGCAACTCACCATCTATGCTGTGAAGAAGTCTCCACACCAAGTTCCACAGGCAGAAAGGATTTGAATATAACAAGAATGGCAACTCACCATCCATGCTGTGAAGAAGTCTCCACACCAAGTTCCACAGGCAGCTGCTTTCATAAACCAAGAATTCTTCAGTCCCAGTAAGTCACTTATGGCGTATTGTGTCGTTGATTCTCCACCAATCAGGAGAAAGGCGTTGTAAATCCAGGAAAATATGTATAAAAACATGATGGTTGTGAAAAACATCACCATCCATGATCCTTGATCTTCTTGGAACATTCGAAGACGGAAAAGTTTTCCTGAAAAACACAATAATCACGATATATCAATAAAAAATTGTATCGACTCATCGAGATTCATAGCCCAAAATGGCAGCTTTTAAACATTTTCTCGTTCAGATCATTTGTTACGCAGTTTGATGATTATATAAATGAGAACACAGAATACTTTAATATATGGCCCTTTTGAAGAAAACTTCCAGGAAAAGTTTTAAGCAATTCCAGGCAAATAGTAAATGAAGGACCCACGGTCCTGTGCTCACACAGTTTGGAACCTTCAGAAGAATGTATATCCTGACTTTCAAACAAAAATATTGATTTGGATTTGTAGTCTCGAACTTTGAGAAACTTAGATAGCACAATTGTGTGACCTAGTTTGATGACCTTTGACCTTGAAAATTTTACTAATTCAGAGCTCAGTAAGGTCTTTTGTGATTAAGCTGACCAAAATTTACATCCAAAAATCAATTTGAAAAATCAACTTTTTTGACCTTTCGAAGGTCACTGAAAGTCAAGTAAAGGTCAAATCCTAAAACTAATGTCAGATTTGAACTCCTGGCAACTTGTAGATGATTTTCAAAAAAAAATTGGTCAAATTGAAGCAAGTTGAAAAATAACTTATTTTTACTGTTTTTTGACATCAAATATCTCAAAAACGGTAAAAATTTGATCCTGACATTTATTGAGCAATATGTAGAGAATGCTTAAATCTAGTAATGATGTAATTCATTGCAAGAAATGATTGATTATAATGCAAACTTTGAGAAACTTGTCAATCACAAAACCTGCCATTGACTTCATACATGAGAAAGTTTCCTGAAAATGACTAAGTCCTACTTTTTGTCAAATTTTATAGAGTAAACACCAAAAACTGTAATTCCAAGAGCTTTGAAATCTTCAGAGGACATAAGTTACATATACAGCAACTACTAAAAGTTATTCGAAAGTTCTACTTCAACAAAGTGTCTAGTATTTACAGAAAATGTGACTGTTTGACGTCAAAATCCGCAATTTCTCGAAAACCGGGCGAACTTGGGAAATGGCGATGATAGGTCAAATAGGCATTATGGATATACATAAAATGAATGTGGATATGACTCAATCCGAATAGCAGTTTTAATTTGTGCGGCCAATGTTGACGGATGGACGGACCAACGGACGGACGGACGGACGGACCAACGGACGGACGGACCAACGGACGGACGGACGCCTGGTCGATCCCATAGGCTCACTGTGTGAGCCAAAAACTGTTATGCATGTAAAACTATTGGACTTCCTTCATTCTTCAAGAATGATTTTCACAACAAGAGCTGTTACATATTACACATACCAGAGTTTCTCGCAAATAGGCCCATGCAGGGGTTTCATTATTAGTAGCAGGCAACAGGCAATTTTCACCAGTTGTTTCCACAAAATTGCCTGTTGTTTTTAGGGACTTTTCAATTTTTCCATGTTAAATTTATGATTTCCATTAATTTTGCATGTTGTTTTCATTTATTTAGCCTGTTGTGAGAAATTCTAATGAAACCCCTGCCATGGGTGTTTATTTGAAAGAGGGATGCCTGAGAAAGTTTTTCCCCTCTTTATTATGGCCTTTGGGCTTTCTTTCATTTCGAGGACTTCTCCATGAACACCCAGTTGGTGATAAATAATAATTTCCCTTGAAAAAACTTTTTCCCTCTTAATAAAGCCCCATGGGTGTTTATATTGAGTTCTTTCAAATAAACACCCTGTGCAAAATAAACGCTCAGTGGGTCTTTTCGCGAGAAACTCCAGTATTGCTATTTGAAGCAGTAAAATGGTAATTTTTTTTAATTTTCTAGAAATTTATTTTTTGTGCAAACTTGCAAACTCCAGTTGTATATTTCTTTTCTATAGTACATCAAAGTATGCGACAAAAACAGGTAAAACATCTCATAAATGTTAAAAAGAAAACTCATGGTCAGAGTCACATTCATATTCCCCAAACTGCTAAAGGCACCTATTATATATAGAAACATAATTAATGGTTTTGTGACTTCTATATCCTCAGTTGATTATACAGAAGATTACTAGCATTACGGTGCTATTCTATATTAGACACTGCTGATAGAATTCCAATTATCCGGTAATACTGTACATTAAAGTAGAGAACAATAAATTCTGATTAGAATGTGAATTATGCATCTTTAAGTTTGCTTCATTGCCAAATTGACCTTGACCCAAATAAATATACAGTAAAACCTGTGTAAGTGGAACACTTTTGGTACCACTACATAGTGTTCCACTTGGGAGGTGTTCCACTTACAGAGGTTCATTTTACAATTAAAGTCAATAGGTTGCGAAATTTTGAAAAGTGTTTTACTAATGGAGGTGTTCCACTTTTCAGGTTTTACTATGATTAACTTTGGTGCATAAAAATATTTCTTTTCGATAACTATTTCTGGAGCTTCATTTTCTGACCTTTGATTTACCTTTAGCCCCATAATTATGTTAAAGTAGTCATTGGATTTGCCACTGGTCAGCCTTTGATTAACATAGACCCATATAAATATGTCTAAATAAATACTGCAATTCATTACTCATGGTTCCATTTGACCTTGACATTTCATGAATTGCGGTTCATCTGCTCTAACTCATCTCAAAGCAAAAATGATTTTTCAATCTGAATATTAGTTTTTGCAAGTGTCATAAAGTAGGTCTAGATCAATCTAAGAAATGCTTATCCAGATTGCCTATTATGACATGATATCAATGGATTCAGATATTTATGGCTCAATTTCTGTTATTGGTAAACATCATATTCTGAATGTCAAATAGCCTCAAATGTCATAACACAGTGGATAAGATTCCAGCATGAAATGGTTTAGGCTAACATAAATAAAGAGAAATATTACCATCATATTTTTCACCCAACTTTGATTATTGGAATAACCAACAATACAAGATTTAAAACCATATTTCACTAAATTTCACTCTTGCATGTGCCTATAAGTATAACTAAGGGTAACTTTACAAAAAGACTGATTTGTGGTGAATTCAATATCTATTCATGAATTTGGAGTAGAAGAATATACAGTACAATTCTTACTAAAAAGAATTTTGTGGACGACAAACTTTCCAAAAAATATTCCGCATATTATTGCTGCGAGCCACAAGAAGACCTTTAAGACACTCCAAGCGTTGGGCGGATATTTACTGATGACAAAACTGGCAACGTTTCCCACCACTGGTATGTAACACTCCTTCACGCTGTGAGCGACTGGATCCTCAGCATAGATCAAAAAGTTACAAAAAGTCACAAGGTACGCTACAAAAATACGGCTGTATGGATGTTGAAAATAATATCTAAAATCTCTTTTGGCCATGAATAAAGAATATTGGCTGAGTTTGTCCCAGTCAGTAACATCAATCCCACTTCCTGTTCCCGATTCTCCGTCACTCGGTTGACGTTTATTTGTCTTAAAGCCAGCATCATCTAAAGACACTACTGCATCTACAGTATCTTTAGACTTAGTATTTGAGTTAGGCACATTTTTATTTTCATCCGTTTTATCTATTGCAGCTCCATTCTCATTAAGTTCAGCAATTTTTTCATGTTCATTTTTTGATTCTTTATCAGCAGTGTCATCATCAATATATTTAATATCATCTTTAACATATTTGTTAATGTCAAAGCTGGGAGAATTTCCCATTATGGGTCCCCCATTCTGGGCCATATCTATGGTCCCATGATGTTTATTGTCCTCAGATTTTTGGTCCAGTAGTGATGTTTTTTCCTCTTCAACTGTAGCAGGGTCCATTGGTTCCACTGCCTGTAAATACAGAAGTCAAAATAATTGAAAATGTACATCTATCTAAAAAAATAAATGTAGAAAAAGATCATGAATTGAAGTTGCTATTGAACACAGATGTTTTGAGGCAATGTAAAATCAATAAAACCCTATAATTAAGTGAGGCTTAACTTTGTAACTTTTGCCAGAGCCTTAGTACTTAAATCAACATTTATAAGTGCAGTATAATGTGACCATCTTAAATCCATCATTAAAAATTATTTTTCTTGGCAAGTCATTCTCATCACAATGGTTCAAAATTTTAAGTAATGGTAAATAATTATTAAAACCATACATGCATTTCAAAATACAATGGGTACAAAATACTTTTAGAGAATAAAAAAAATTGCAAGTTATACCATATTTAATAACCATAGTTATATATATGGTATTTTCTTCTTTTCATAAAACATAGCATATTGTTAAACTTAAACTTTAAACATTAATGCCTCCAATCATTTACAGAAGTTGAAGATATGAGAGAAATAAAACCAGCCATATCTTTCCATAGAAACAAAAATGAACTAAACACTGAATAATTACTCTGACATGCATTTTCCCTGAAATAAGGAAGAAAATAGGAAGTAAACAGTATATTCATCCTCGCTGCATATATGTCCCAGCTTATTTAAAACATCAGTAAAAAATATGTGTTGTCCCTAATTGGTTATTCTATCTATTTGAAAAATGTACTATAGACATATAAATATCTCACAATATTTTTCTGTATAATCTAGAGTAATAATTGTTAAAAGCGATTAATCTTTTCTTTGACTTGATTCCATACTTTTCTTTCATATTTTAACCTTCAAAACGGGAGGAGTTTTCATTTGAGGCAGAACATATCAACCGTTTATGATTAATATAATGGCTGAAGTAAATTATTCATCTAATTTCCTAAAAATATGGATTTCCTTACTTAGTACTAAATAAGAAATAAATCATGATATAGTTTATATGAATATTTTACATTATATCACTTGTGTTTGTAAAAAATGATATCTTTTTCATATAAAATATATAGTATAGGATATATCTCTTTGTAAATCTTTTAATTTGATATAATTTATATTACTAGTGTTTAAATCATTTTTTCCTTTTTGCTCTGTCATTAATGTATCAATGGCTCCCAGATATTTTCCTCATGAAGCTTTGAGATCAGGAAGAAGCCATAATTTTTAATTTCAGCTTTATATACAAAATCAATGTTCCTGATTCAAATCAGAGGTTAGGATAATCTCTGCCAGTGTAAGATGAGATAAAAATAACTTACAGTATATTTTGTATGTATAATGAAGCCTGTGCTCCAGGCTGTATTTATAATCCATATTTAGCAGAATATAGAGTTGTCCTATAATATCTAAGAATTGTAAATGATGTCTCCCGAGTGATGTCTTATGATCACATGCCTGATGGTTAAACATCTTTCAAGGCAGAAAAACATTGATCAATTTGTCTCAAGACATAACATCAATGAAACAAAAATTATAGCAAATGGTGTATTGTAAGTGGGAGTTCAGATATCAGGAAATAGTTAAAGAAACTGTATAGTATATATTACATACCAAAAAGTCTTATTTATTCAAAATGATTAATCTTTACAAGATGAGTTTTCATCCAAATGTTCACATTCCTATTATATAGCCATTTACCCATCAGATTCTATTTTTGTGCAACACCTGTATAAATCTGAATGCTTCCATGAAGGTAGAGTTCTGGTATTTATTATAAATATTACATATGAGAACATTGACACTTAGACTAACTGCATCTAAAATAAATAAAATTAAAATAAAGATGCACTATGAAGTCCCTCACCCTAAGCATCAGAGAGTCATTCAGCATTGGAGAGTGGAGCATTCCATTTTGGGCCTAAAAGAGGGCTTCTGGGCCTTATTTTCAATCAAAATTGGTTAGTTTTTGAGATAAAATGCAATTTGGCCTTTTTGAAAGAATAGGTCTTTATTTTTGATATACCGGGAAGAGATCTTGTTTTAAGCAAAACATTTTCCCAGCCCTTTCCAAAAGGGTGTCCTGACATTGAAGCTTAGCTAATAGAAGCTACTGACAATGGAAAACGCTATAACTTAGGTTAAAACATTCTTCCTCAAGCAGATCTCTATAATTCTCTACATGTAACAAGACTAGAAAAACAGCAACTCCACGGAGTAGCAAATCCCACCGAACAAAACATGTTTTGATAAAAAAAATTGAGCCAAATTCATCCACTGGTATTTGAATTATCAAAGATTATGTCTTTATGAAACATGGTTGCCATTTTGAAATTCAGCTGTCATCTTTAGATTTCTTCTTAAGCAGAGAATGTCCGTCCAATGGTTATCAAAGATTACTTTTTTAAATTCAGCTATCGCCTTTGAAATTTCTTCTGAAGCAGATCTCCTTTTTCCCTAAACATCAGCATATAAAATTGGAACCAAATCCATCCACTAGTATTTGAGTTATCATTAATTACGTTTTTTACGAAAAATGGTGGCCATTTTGAAATTCAGTGGCCATCTTGAAAATTTATTTTTGAGTAGAACTTCTTTGTCTCTAGGCATCAGCATATAGAATCTGAACCAAATCCGTCAACTGGTATTTGAGTAATCAAAGGTTACGTTCTTTCATGAAAAATGGCGGCCATTTTGAAATTTAGCTACCACCTTGAAAATCCTTTCTCGAGCAGAGCTCCTATGTCCCTAAGCATCATCATGTAAAATTTGAACCAAATCTATTCAATGGTAATTGAGTTATCAAAGATAATGTTTTTTTTAAGAAATGGCCGTCATTTTGAAATTTAGCTGCCATCTTGAAAATCCTTTCTTGAGCAGAGCTCCTATGTCCCTAGGCATCAGCATCTAAAATTTAAACCAAATCCATTCAATGGTATTTGAGTTATCAAAGATAACGTTTTTTTACGAAAAATGGCCGCCATTTTAATAATTTAGCTACCATCTTGAAAATCCTTTCTCGAGTAGAGCTCCTATGTCCCTAGGCATCAGCATCTAAAATTTGAACCAAATCCATTCAATGGTCTTTGAGTTATCAAAGATAACGTTTTTTTATGAAAAATGGCTGCCATTTTGAGATTTGGTGGCCATCTTGAAAATGTCTTCTTGAGCAAGGCTCCTTTGTACCAAGGCAACAGCATATAAAATTTGAACCAAATCCATTCACTAGTATTTGAGTTATTAAAGATTATATTTTTTCCGAAAAATGGCCGCCATTTTAAATTAAGCAGCCATATTGAAAATTCCTTCTCGAGCAGAGGTCCTACACCCATAAGGCATGAGCCTATAAAATTTGAATGAAATCCGTCAATCGGTATTTGAGATATTGCCCGGACACGAACGGACGGACGGACGAACGGACGGACGGACGGACGAACGGATGGACGGCTTTTCTATATCCCCCTCGAACTTCGTTCGGTGGGATAATTATTGAACCATTGTCTAACATTTTCTGTAAGTGTTTGTCCATGACATGGGAATACACTTTAGACAGCATGGGATTTCTTTCAAAAAGTTATTCTTGCAAAGAGTCTCTATATAGTCACCCCTCCCCCCATCTTCTTCACCTTTGAGTGTGGAAGTGGTGTGTAGGAAAGGTGGAATTCTGCTTGAGGTATAATAACATATAAGGGAGAATATCATGCATCAGGAATAATACCATATTAGCACAAGCAATCGAGCTGATAAAGGGCCAAAACATAAAAAATTGCAACAGTTTTTGAGGAAAAAATCATGCATCAGGAATAATACCATATGTAAAAAAGAATCGGAATCTCTTATTTCAAGGACATACTTTACATCAGAGAGCAAACCTTTTAATATACATGTAATAGGCATCTATAAAGTATCATGATATCAGTCAACATTCAAAACACCTGCTTATTGGAAATTCATTTGTAATATTGCAAGTGATACCTTTATACATTTTTACATACAGTAAAACTTGTCGAAGTGGAACACATTTGATACCGATCTAAAAAGTGTTCCACTTGGGAGGTGTAACTTATAGAGGTTCAGTTAACATTAAGTCAGTTGGTGATTGGACTCTGAAAAGTGTTCAACTAACAGAGGTGTTCCACTTCTGGAGGTGTTTCACTTGTTTACAGTAGAACCAGTTAAGTGGAACACCTCTGTAAGTGGAACACCTCACAAGTGGAACACTGTTTTTAAAGTCCCATGGCCTGTCTACTCCATGTTAATAAACCTCTATAAGTGGAACACCTACAAAGTGGAACACTTTTTTTGTGGTCCAAAGGTGTATCACTTGACAGGTTTCCCTGTATATGAAATAAGATATAACTAAATTGATAGTCTTGCATATATATCATTTCATAGAGAGAGAATTGGAGGATATGAACATAGTCTTAATGCAAGACTATTGTTATTAATCCACATGGTTAGCAATGCTTTATCATTATCATTATGTCAAGTTTCTCCATTGTGCTTTCTCAGTGAATGTTATATTATTGTTATGCCATTATATTAATGTTATATTACTACAGTATTTATTTTATGTTTCCAGATGATGAATTCTAGTATGTCTATGTATGTGGCAATATGGGATGGTATTCAGTAACTAATGCCTCTAAATATTCTTACGTTATTTTACATTCAGAAAAGTTAAATTCCATTCATTCAAATTATCAGATTGTTACTGTATCACTGATATATCACACTTATATTTTACATTATGTCGTGCTGTATGTTACCACTGACTCTAAATTACATACATTTTTGTATTTGGTATATAGCTTTAATTTGATATATATTATACTTTTATACCTCTAAATAGACTATACACATTTAGAAAATAACATAAACATAAAAAGTTGGTATATAACTAGTGACATTAGTATGTGTATATGAAAACTAAAGTGATCGATGGCATTGTTCTATCAAATGACAAATTCTGATAAATGACAAATCAATGTAAAATATACTTAATAATGAAGGAAACTTTTTTAGAACATA